CTCTCTCTCTCTCTCTCTCTCTCTCTCTCTCTCTCTCTCTCTCTCTCTCTCTCTCTCTCTCTCTGTGTGTGTGTATACGGGTGCCCCTCTCTCTCTCTCTCTCTCTCTCTCTCACACACACACACACACACACACACACACACACACACAGAGACATGCACAGTACGTTCACCCTAATCCAACCCTATCCAATTCGATCCCGACGAACCTTTTACTACAATCCGATCTCATCTTATCCATTACGATCCAATCCAGAGATGCCATCAAATCCAGTCTAATCCCATCCAGTATGTTGTAATGTATCTGGACGCGATCACAACACCGTTCATTCCCCCAACCCTCACACTTCCAAAAAACATCAGATCGCGATCCCAACCCTCCCACTCCCGAGGAACATTGGATCCCGATCTCAACGCTCCCACTTCCAAGAGAACATTGGATCGCGATCGCAGCCCTCGCATTTCCAATAAACAACGGATCGCGATCCCAACCCTCCCATTTCCGCGAAATATTGGATCGCGATCTCAACCCTCCCGCTTCCACGAACCATGGGATCGCGATCGCACCCCTTCCACTTCCAAGAAGCATCGGATCGCGATCCAAACCCTCGCAAGTCCGAGAACCATTGGATCGCGATCAGACCCCTTCCATTTCCAAGCAGCACTGAATCGCGATCCCAACCTTCGCACTTCCGAGAAATGCGTTGCATCGCGATCTCAACCCTCCCGCTTCCGCGAATCATTGGATCGCGATCCCAACCCTCGCACTTCCAAGAAACATCGTCGGTGTCCCGATAGTAAACTGCGCCGCGCCTCCAATCTCGCCGAGGCGGCATCTCGACCTGGTCACTGATCCGACGAACCATCAGCTGTGACTCACAGCGTGCTTACACTACATCATTCCTGGATGTATACAACTACTATCGCGTCCAGATACAGTCTGGAAAATCCCTAATGATGGCAGCCCGGCACGCCACCAGTCTTTCTTCGACTACCAGGCGGCAGCTAGTTTTTTTTTTTTTTAACTCAAAAAGAAAAGAAAGCCAAGAGAAAAGGGAGGGGCAAACCAGTACACCCACATTCCACATCTCGAAATCCTCTGCCCGTCGCCTCCTCTCCCCTCTCCTCCTCCCCCCTCCCTGCTCCTCCTCCCCACTCCCCTCTCCTCCCCTCTCCTCCCATCTCTTCCCCTCTCCTCCCCTCTCCTCCCATCTCTTCCCCTTCCTCCCCTTCCTCCCCTGAGGAAAACACCGCTCCCTGCTCCTCCTCCTCACTCCCCTCTCCTCCCCTCTCCTCCCATCTCTTCCCCTCTCCTCCCCTCTCCTCCCATCTCCTCCCCTCTCCTCCCATCTCTTCCCCTCTCCTCCCCTTCCTCCCCTAAGGAAAACACCGGATTGAAAGGGGAAAAAAAAAGAAAAAAGAAAAAAAAACTAGGTTACCAGCCGGGCCGCCCGGGTCCCGGGTGGCCAGCCCGTGCGAGGACCAAAGAAGGTCCCAGCAAAAAAAAAGAAAAAAAAAATCCCGGGTCCCGGGTGGCCAGCCCGTGCAAGGACCAAAGAAGGTCCCAGCAAAAAAAAAGAAAAAAAAAATCCCGGGTCCCGGGTGGCCAGCCCGTGCGAGGACCAAAGAAGGTCCCAGCAAAAAAAAAGAAAAAAAAAATCCGAAAAAAAACTATGTTATGCAGAAAAATAAACGGAACTTCTGCCTCAGGGTCACATCGAAATTCTTCACCAAATTTAGAATAAAAAATTAATTTTAAAAATAATTCTTTTATTTTTATTTTTTATTTTTTTTGGCCCGGCCGGGCAAGTGCCCCCGGGCCACTCTGGTAGCCTAGGAAAAAAAAAAAA